TTTGTTTGTAAATTTGGCAGAGTGCCTCCATTGAGTTTGGCAATAAACTCATCAACTTTTAATCGATCCAAAATGGGTTATAAGGAAATCTTTGTGTAAGTTTCAAGAAACTATCTTAAATGAGGAGGAAATTTATATTGCATATCCCTTATGTAAGATAAAGTCTATAACAAGTCTAGTTAGTTGAAGAAATCAATCTAATTGCCAGTTAAGAGTAGAAGCCCAGAAATACTAGCTGTAGTATAAATAATTGCATCGTTCATAGAGATAACTTAGTTTGTTCTTTCCTACGCAGCTTATGATAATACTAAGGGTGTTCCAAGAAGAATTTCTTTCTTATAAGCTTATAAATCCAAATCATATTAATTAAGAATACAATTTTATTGGATATTGATTTTAAAAATTGGATCTGTTACAGAAGAATAAAATTACACAGTAATTTAATAATGTGGATTGCTTAAATGAGAAGTAATATTTTTCAATGGAACAACAGATAATGTAAATTGAGTCTCTGGAAGGATGGCAAACTCAACAATTTATTCAAAGGAATCCTAGGTTGTAAATAAACTTCTTATGAGAAGCTAAGGTCAAGTATTTTGGTTTGATTTTATCTATCAGAGAGCAAAATTAAATTGAAATTAGGATGTTAGATAAAAGTACAACTACTTAACTTATTTTCTTGGTTGATACAATAATAGGAATCTTCTTCAATACATAGAGAAGAACATCCATCTCCCCCATTGCTATTTCCATCATCACATTATTCAAAATTACTATCAAGAATGCCATTACCACATAAAGTTATACATTCATTATTGATAATGGCTTTATTCTGACCACACTAAATATATTGATTTTCATCCTCATCTGGTTTTTATTCTTCTTAGGATGCTATTACTTTACATTGAAATGACCTAGTATCCAAATAGAAAGATTAACTTTCGCATTATACACAATGATTATCCTTTTCACATTAAATACAACCTAAAGAGCATTAGTATTCACAATTATAACAACCATCATATGGTAAGTAATTGCCATCATCACACTATTCATCCTGACTTGAAACAATACCATCACCACAGAAATCGATACATTAGTTGGAGAAACATTTATTTATATTGATGTCCCAAATGCATTCGAAATCCTCTCTATCTGTTTAGCAAGCTTCTTAAATTTGATAATCCTTACAACTCTACTTCCTTGCGCATCCTCCATCTTTTTTAAATGTACAATACGGTAAATATGAATTACACTGCTCATATTTCGTAAGAGAAACTTCTGCAGTCTAGCAGGTTTTAGTAATGCACTTTTTATCAATCCAAACGCAAGGATTTAATTAAACATCAAACGTACATCCATTAATGATAGTTACATTTTCACATTTCATTCTTAAAACACAATGAATTCCATTTGTTGCACAACGTTTGTCTTTAAATGTTGATGCACAAGCTGAATCATTATCATAATAGTAATCAAAGCATTCTTTTTTACGACAATCACCTTTTTGGCAAGTTGAAAGGAAACTTGTGCATTCAGAATTAGATGAAGCATTTGAAGGTCCATTTGCACATATTCGTTCTTAGCACATGCTTTTCTCTTCATTCCAGAAACAATCTACTCTACTTAAATTCATTTACCCAATACTGGTGCATTGTTAATAATTGTAATTCTTACAAAGCGTTTAAACTATTTCGCATCCATCTAAATTTTAGTTTACAGTACATGAATCACCAAAATACTAATGGCAACTCTATGCTGTATATTNTAGAA